GTTAAGTCAGGTCCTTTGGAGTCGACCATAAGTTATTCAGACGTCTATAGACGACCTTAAATGTCGACTTTAGGACATCTAGAAGAAGACATTTGTAAAATAGTCGACTTAAGTCAACTTTAAGTCGACTTGTCAGAAAGCCACACGTATATGTCCGCATGATGGTTGACTTAAAATCGACTTACAATCGTCTTCAAAGTGGGACATTGTATGACTCGGAGACGTCTCTAAGTTGTCTAAAGTGAACATACGGACGTCTATTTTCAGACATCTAGCAGCATAAGTCGACTCAGAGTCGACTTACAAGTAACACTATGGAACTGCCATACGCCGATTTTTCTAAAACTGTGCATACAAGTAGTTCTTCAAACACTATTTGACAGACAATTTTTCGTTTTCCCCAAAAACGAATTTTAGGGTGGAAATCACCCCTACCATTTTTTAGGGGTGGACAGGGGTATTTTACAGACCATTTGTAGGATTTCTATGAAATTTGGTATCTGAGGGTTTTTGAGGTCGCTGATTACGAATTTGAAATCAGTTTTTAAAAATTCAAAATGGCGGATCCAATATGGCGGTCGGATTTTAAATTATTTTAAGGATTTCTATCAAACATGATATCTAGGGATTTTCGTGGTCGCTGATTACGAATCTGAAGTCTATTTTTGAAAATTCAAAATGGCGGATACAATATTGCGGTCGGGTATTTTATTTTTTATCAGATTTCTAAAAAACATGGTATATATGGATTTTTGGGCTTTGTGATTACGAATCTGAAGTCAATTTTTAAAAACTAAAAATGTCGGATCCAATAAATCGGAGAAAATTGTATATATTACTAGATTTTTACGTAACTTGGAATTTCCGATCTTCTTTAGTCGTTAATTAAGAATCAGAAATTATTTTTTACACTACTTTTAGCATTACCCAGGAACAACGACGTGGACGTAGTAGCTTTTTGTTCCCATAAGGGTGATTTATTAAAAGTGAGTCCCCTTGCCTCTCACAATATCGGAAGGTTTTTGATGTGAGTCCCCTTGCCTCTCACATGTCTTTATCCTTTGTGAAATTTGTGCAATAATGTGGTGGGTTAGCATCTGTAATTGCAAAATGACGTAGGAATAGTTAGATGTGCGTGGTGTACAGCATCAATGTGCATGCAACACTTTTTTGCAATTACAGATGCTAACCCACCACATTATTGCACAAATTTCACAAAGGATAAAGACATGTGAGAGGCAAGGGGATTCACATCAAAAACCTTCCGATATTGTGAGAGGCAAGGGGACTCACTTTTAATAAATCACCCCTATGGGAACAAAAAGCTACTACGTCCACGTCGTTGTTCCTGGGTAATGCTAAAAGTAGTGTAAAAAATAATTTCTGATTCTTAATTAACGACTGAAGAAGATCGGAAATTCCAAGTTACGTAAAAATCTAGTAATATATACAATTTTCTCCGATTTATTGGATCCGACATTTTTAGTTTTTAAAAATTGACTTTAGATTCGTAATCACAGAGCCCAAAAATCCATATATACCATGTTTTTTAGAAATCTGATAAAAAATAAAATACCCGACCGCAATATTGTATCCGCCATTTTGAATTTTCAAAAATAGACTTCAGATTCGTAATCAGCGACCATGAAAATTCCTAGATATCATGTTTGACAGAAATCCTTAAAATAATTTAAAATCCGACCGCCATATTGGATCCGCCATTTTGAATTTTTAAAAACTGATTTCAAATTCGTAATCAGCGACCTCAAAAACCCTCAGATACCAAATTTCATAGAAATCCTACGAACGGTCTGTAAAATACCCCTGTCCACCCCTAAAAAATGGTAGGGGTGATTTCCACCCTAAAATTCGTTTTTGGGGAAAAACGAAAAATTGCCTGTCAAATAGTGTTTGAAGAACTACTAGTATGCACAGTTTCAGAAAAATCGGCGTATGGCAGTTCCATAGTGTTACTTGTTAGAGACTTTGTGCTATTAGGGATACTACTCTCATGTATGTGTAGTTTTCAAACAATAACTGTAGAAGGACACCGATTCGCTTTTAAAAAGCAAATAAAAAATTATTGTAAAATTACATATACAGGGTGTCCGGTCAGACCTTTCTAATCGCATACAGAGAGGTAGATGGGATCGAAATAAACATAAAAGTCCTTTATCGTTTAGCGAAATTCGTAATAATAATGGAGATATTAATATTTGAATTTGTAGTAATGAGAGCGCTCCGATAGAAACGCTCTGGCCGCTCGAGGTATAGCCCGGCCCAGTGCGTCAAACGATGATTGCGCCGGCAGCGCGTTGGAGAGGTAGGAGGGGAAGAGCGCCGTTGCTTAGCGCCCGGCATCGGCGTTTACACGTCTTACCGCACCGCACGAAAGGACTCGCGCGATGGCCGTTAAGGCCCGTCTACATAAGTCGCAAAACGCAGAACGCAGTTCGCAAACGCTGACGCAACGTACACGCATTCGCACGTCGTAAATCACGTGTATCTGCATCGATAGCACGTTTCACGCAAACGCAATCATTAGGTTAGCTAATCCAAACGAGATACTGAGCTTTTCCCAGTTTTATATAGGTGGTGTGGCACATTTTGTATGAAGAAAATGGATCAGAATCGAGATTTGTTATTGTTTTCGTTTTTTACCTTAAGTACAGCAGCATTAAGTTTATGCCAGTTAGTGAAAAAGAAACAAAGACGGTGGTGGATCCGACCGATTAATAAAACTCGCAAAACAGAAGGACACCACGATACAATATTCGCGTATATGAAGATTTACGATCACGAAGAATTCTATGAATTTACTCGTATGTGGCCACACAAATTTGATCAATTAGTTGAACTTGTATCACCATTCTTGCCAAATCCACAAAATTGCATACGGAAACCTCTGCCAGTAGATTTACGTGTCGCCCTAACACTATCGTAAAAGAATTTATAAATAATGTTATAAATTTTTTCATATGCTATATTTATCAATTGCGATTTTTTATAGTTATCTTGCTCATGGAAATTCTGTGCGATCAGAATCGTGGAATTATAGAATAGGAAGATCCACAGCATATAAAATTATTCCTGAGGTATGCCAGGCTATTTGGAAGGCTCTTCAGCCTATATATTTTCCAGAAATGAATCAAGACAAATGGACCAAAGTAGCTGATGAATTTTATTCCAAATGGCAATTTCCCAACTGTGTTGGAGCCATAGATGGGAAACATATTAAAATACGTTCCCCTCCAAACTCTGGGTCAGAATTCTTTAATTATAAACAATATTTTAGCATCGTTTTATTAGCAACTTGTGATGCTCAATTTAAATTTACTTGGGTCGACATTGGTCAATGCGGTAAATATGTGATTTTTTAAATTAACGTTTGAGAGAATCTAATGGTCTGAGTATAATGGAAGAAATAGTAGGAATAGGAATGAGTATTAAGATTTTAACTTATCAGAAGCTAATTACTGGAATGCACGGTTACTGATAAGTTATAAAATCTTAATATTTATTCCTATTCCTAATATTTCCTCTGTTATGGATAGGATCTAATAAAATTTTGTAATTCCTTTTGCAGGATCTATAAGTGATGGTGGAGTTTGGAGTAGGTCTAAATTTGGAATTGATCTTGAAAATGAATGTTTTGATCTTCCTCCACCTAAAAATCTACCAAGAACAAATATTCCTATACATTTTACGTTCGTAGGAGATGAGGCTTTCCCATTAAAAATGTATTTACTTCGACCATACAGTAGAAAATATTTGGGAGATGCAGAGCGCGTTTTTAATTATCGCTTATCCAGAGCCAGAAGAACCATTGAAAATACATTTGGAATATTAGTTTCTCGTTGGCAAATATTAACTAAGACTATATGTTGCAATCCCGATAATACTACACATATCATTAAAGCATTAGTTTGTCTGCATAATTATATTATGACTGCAGAAGAGCAGCATGCCATGCCAAATGCAAGATCATATTGTCCACCTAATTTGATTGATCATGAAACCCTTGAGCATGATGAAATTTTAGGAACTTGGCATGAGCAGACAGGGTTAGGTGCTTTTGAAGATATGACACGAATAGGTGCTAATAATGCCCGTAAAAATGCTACTAAACAGAGAGACACATTAAGAAATTACTTTGTATCTCCATTAGGTGAACAAAAAGCTCCTTGGCAATATAGTTGTGCATTCAGAGGTTTGGTTATAAATGACAAAGAATAATATAATAATAGATAAGTATATTTCAAGAATAATAATAATTTTTTATAATTTTATTTTTGGAAATAAACATACTATTTAATAAACATACTATTTTTATATATAAACATAAAATGTCAAACGAAACTAAAATGTAAAACATAATGTATACATAAAATGTAAAAAAACAAAATAAACTTTTCTTGTTTACAGCTGTAAAGGCTTAAACACAATAGGCATAGGCAACAGGGAATAACGAGCCGTACAATCAGAGCTCTGGGATATAATATCGAACTTATACCTCAAAGCTCTGATTGGACGGCTCGTTATTCCCTGTTGCCTGTGCCTATTGTATTTAAGCCTTAATACATAATACTTGTCGTAACAATTACATTTGTACTGTGTTTAACGTTAATATTTAATAAAACATGTATTTATGTAATAAAAATAAAATTTCTAACCGAACATTAGACAAATCATATTTTATCGAAGGCATGAAAAATCTAGAGAAGCGTTGGAATAAATATATTGAATCAAAAGGAAACTACGTTGATAAGTAAATTAACTTTAAATAATAATACGCTTTTAAAGGAACATTTACACTCTGTATACACCTTATAAGCAGGGACTGGAAATACCTACATGTTATTTGTAATTCTGTTACTTTTTATAGTTACTTTATTATAATTACGATTTGGTAATGATATTGCAAATTTTTTATGACGGTAAAAATAACGGTGTTACTATACCTCCATTCCCTGTTTATAAGTATTAATAGATAAAGTTTATCAGTCTTGCTTTTGTTCGATGATATTTGGGCATCCACCTTTTCTATAAATTTCTGCGACACGACAAATGTCAGAAAAACATAACAATTTCTTATCTTCTGGCACATACTTTAATAAATATTGCAAAAATTTTAATTCATCATTAGTAGTCTCAGTAAGCTGAACTATCTTCGCTGCAACTTCTGATGCACTTTTTGAAAGCTGCTGTATACAACTTTTGATAACATCTTGATCTTTCTCTTTCTTTATCACATCTGATTTAGGCACTTTAGGTTGCAATATCGATTTTATTGCTTTACCTCGAATGGTAGAAGACATTTTTGCTGAAGTCTGGGCCTCAATAGTAGGATTTAATAATAATGATTCATTAGGACAAGAAATCATATTTGACTCATTTACATCACTGAGTACTGTAAAAATAAAACGAACAAAATATAAAGTAAATGTACCATTTCGTGGACATGACCCAATTATTGGACAAATTGTGACAATTTTAAATATTAAGCTTTTGATGATATGTGTTACTCTAAATAAATTTTTAAGCAATTTTTTATATTATTTAGAAATTAATTATTATATAATTTATTTATATTAAAGACGATACTTTTGTAAAAAAAATTTTGTTTATGGATAATCGTCCATTTATTAGAACATTCACACATATGCGTGTATCAAAATTGCTTATATTATTTGTAAAAGACAAGAATAAAATTCTTACATGACTCATTGTCACTAGTGTCATATAGGGACACACTTTGTAAAGAAGTAGATGGACTACTATACACTATGCCTTCTGGTTTTAATTCTTCTTGCTGAAGTTCAATAACAAATAGCTGGCTTGCTTTTCTTTTTAGTAAGTTATGAGATAAATGTACCTCATCTGTGAAACATAGACTGTTATCTGATGCTAAGGAAGTTTCAGAACACCCTGAATAATTACTTATTGTCCTGTAAAATAGAAAAGAACTTAAGTTATATTTATAATTTAATCTCAGTATATTTATATAAAAAGAAAAATCACTAATAGTCAGGGTTGGGTAAGTTAATGTTTTTTTTTAACTGAATAAAGTTAAAGTTAATGGCTTTACAAAATTAATAAAGTTAAGTTAAAAGTTGAAGGAATAAAAAATTAACATAAGTTAATATTGAATTAACTCAAATTGAAAAAAAAGTTAATTTCGAAAACAATTATTTTTTAGATTAAAATGTCCTAATTTTTCTTAAAATGAGATTAAAATAACTACAATATAGATTATTAAGTAAATTAAATTTTTTATTTTTGTATTCACATATGATATAAGTATATAATACGTAACGATATAACTATATAAGTTATATAACTTTAAAAAAACAGTCAGCACATAGAAAAAATACAAGAGTGATTACATTTTTAAAAATTATATTTTAAGTTAAAAATAAACTATTAATAAAAATACAACGTATAATGACAAAATATTAAATAATAACGAAACTCCTCAGAATCACAAACATTGCAGAATCACATGCGAAAATTAATAATAATAATAATAATAATTCGAGATAGTATTAAACTAGTGCATGAACCAATCAGAGAGCCGTATTAGCATCTCAAGACATTCCTTGAGACTTTGTTCGGACTATAGATTTCGACCTTAGTCTTATTATATCTTATTATTTTTCTAAGATATTGAAAGAAGATAAAAAAATGTTTTAACTTAAAAAAAAGTTAAAAAGTTAACATTTAAAATTAACTAAGTTAAGTTAAAAGTTATTAACTTTTTAACTTTTTTTTTAACTTTTAACGTTTTAACTAGTTACTACCCAACCCTGTTAATAGTATATATCTTTACAGAGAAAGTTAAACAGATAAATAATGAAATTGTACGTACTTTCTGCTAGTAACATGTTCTGCAAGAAACAATAAATCATTATAATATTCCCATGTTGATTCATATCTTTTACTTTCAGAACCTGCTCCTGATGGAGGAATACTTGTAAGAATCTTTTTTCTTTCTTTTTGAAAAGTATCCCTTAAATGTTTGAAATGTTTTGCAGCTATGTCTCCTGAATAAAGATTAATTGAAGTTATTATATATACAAACATTTTGTACTAAGAGAACTTAGCTTAACTTACAATTAGTTAAATTGTATGAGGGAAACAGAATTAATAAAAATGTTAAAAATAATGTATATAGTTAATTATAATATACAATAATAGAGATTGCATTGAACGAAATTAAAGTAATTAAAACTGTTATGTCTTTTACTAGTAATGAAGACGCCTTCTTTTATTTTTAATTCCTTTATTAGTGACGCCGTGCGCTTCACACGTGTACATTCGTGTATGTTCGGGAGCGTACTGGCGGCCACGCTGCCGCTACGCTAGCCTCGTGGCTTTGTCGCACGCACTTACACTATGATACATCACAACTTTCTCTCTATCATATTTTTTTTAGTCTAGCTGAGCGTCGAACGTTTGTTTCGATTTCCGATTGGTTTTTTAATCTAACAATTTGATCAACATGACGTTTCCAAATACATTTGGGACCTACTTCTACCTCATACGTTACCGGTGACAGTTTCCTTACAATCCTTCCTTCCCTTCTTTTATCGTTTCGGACTGAATAATCGTTTACCATTACTACATCCCCGACGTTAAATGATACTTTCCGTGATCCCTTATGTGCAAGGATTTGTGCCGTTTGTTTTTTTACAACTGTTTCCTCCACGCTTGGTCTCAACATGTCAAATCGGGTTCTCAATTCTCTTTTCGACACCATCCATGCGGGACTGCGCCCAGTAGTGCAATGCTCTGTAGCTCGATAATCAAATAAAAACAAATCGATTGCGTCGTTTAACGTTTTTCCGCTTTTCATAATTTTTTCGACTTTATCTTTGAATATACCAACAAAATTTTCTGCAGCGCCGTTTGTTGCTGGGTGGTGTGGAGCCGAGAAACTATGTTTCACTCCGTTTATTCTTAGAAATTTCCGAAATTCAGTGCTGGTATATTGCGGTCCATTATCAGTGACCAAGTGCCGTGGTAGACCGAAACGTGTAAAAATTTTTTGAAATTCGCTAATTACTCGCGATGCTTGAGTACATGTGTTCATGTCGATTACCTCGGGCCATTTTGAATGTGCGTCTATAATCAACATGAACATATGACCATGAAATGGTCCGAGAAAATCACTATGCACTCGGCTCCAAAATTTGTCTGGCCATGGCCAGGGAGTTAGTGGCACGGCACTTGGTGACTTCTTCAATCGGGTACATATGGTGCATGATGCAGCAACATTTTCTAAATCTTTGTCAATGCCTGGCCACCAGACGTACGACCGAGCGATCATTTTCATTTTAACTATCCCGAAGTGCGACGCATGCAGTTCTCGTAAGATAATTTCTCTTAATGATTCGGGTACTAGTACTCTGTATCCCCACAAGATACAGCCTTTTTCTACGGTTAATTCATCTTTTTTCATAAAAATCGCGTTGTCGATGATTGCTGGGTCGTTCGTATTTGGCCATTCGTTGTACGCGAAATACAATACTTTTTTTAACATTTTGTCTTTTTTTGTTTCGTTTGCTATATCTACTGCGTTTAGTGTATCAAGATTTTCGCTCATATAATTAATGGCTGTGAACTCGTTATCGAAAATGGGCAGTGAATCGGTAACTGGTAATCTAGATAACGCATCGCAGTTTCCGTTATCTTTGGATTTAATGTATATTATTTTATACGTGAATCTAGATAAAAAATAAGCCCAACGTTGTAATCTGCTCGCAACTGTTAGCGGTATTTCCTGTTTTGGTCCGAATATATAGATTAACGGTTTATGATCTGTTTTTAGAATAATTTCGCGTCCATAAATGAAGTTATAAAATTTTTTGAATCCGAATACAATTGCACCCGCTTCTTTATCGATTGTAGCTCGGTGCTTTTCTTTTACGGGTATGATTTTTGACGCGAATGCGATTGGCTTTTCTAAGTTATCGTCATCTATCAGCGACAGCACTGCCGATAGTCCATACGCAGAGGCATCACATGCTAAAACTAATTGCTTACTTGGGTCGTAATGCGCAAGAATTCTTGGCGAAATTATTTCTTTTTTTACCCATATGAATGCTTTTTCACAATCTGGTGTCCATGTAAACTTTGATTGTTTTGCGCACTCGTAGAGTGCTTTCAATTTGTTTGCTCTATCTGGTAGGAATCTTGCGTAATACGTCACCAGTCCTATGAATGACTCGAGCTGCTTGAAGTTTGTCGGGTGCGGTGCCTCTACAATTGCGCGAACTTTATCGTTCGATTTGTGCAGTCCTCCTTTATCAATAACGTACCCCAGGATTTCGATTTTTTCTCTGAAAAATTCACATTTATTTATATTAACTTTAAAACCGTATTGTTGTAATCGCGTGCACACTTTGTATAAAGTATCTACATGTTCTTTTTCGTTCTGTCCCGTTACAAAAATATTATCTAAGTACGCCACACATCCCGGGATGCCTGTCAAGCATTGTTCGATTTTTTTTTGAAAATCTCCAGGACCCGATGCAATACCCTCTGTTAATTTCGTGTACCTAAACAATCCTTTATGCGTAATGATTGTAAGATAATTTCGTGACGCCTCATCTACCGGTATTTGCATATACGCGTGCTCTAGATCGATTTGTGAAAATGTCTTGCCCTTACCCATTGCAGAGAATATTTCGTCAATTAACGGAATTGGATGTCGATCGATTACTAATTGAGGGTTTACAGTCAATTTAAAATTTCCGCAAATTCGTATCGTACCGTTTTTCTTAATCACTGGTATGATTGGCGTTGCCCATTCGCTTACATCTACTTTTTCAAGGTGACCTAACGACACCAATCTGTCAATTTCTTCCTCCACTTTGGGCATTAGTGCAAACGGCAATTTTCTTGCTTTCAACGCTACTGGTGTCGCATTGTTTTTTAGTACCAGTTTTAGAGTTCCCTTGTTGTATATCCCGACGCCTGCTCCGAATAATTGTGAAAACTTATTTGTTAACTTTACCTTAATATTACTTTCGTCTACTTTATTTATCGTCGTGTTTGTCCCTTCCGCATTTCTATTTAGCGTTAATGGCCACAATCCGAATGCCTTAAGCCATTGTCGTCCTATTATAACAGTGCCCGGACGCTTCATAACTACTAATCCGAGTGTCTGCTTTTTATTTTTATATTCTACGTTTAAATTATCGATTACTCCGTCGTGTTCTAACTCTACGTTTCCGTACCCGTTTAACCGTTTGTTAAGTTTTTTAATTTCCAGGTTTGGAAAAAAACAATCTTTCGTTTCTTTTGACATTACGGTTACATACGCGCCAGAATCGATTTCCATTGAAAAATTCACGTTATTAATTTTTATTTGTATAAACATCGGTTTCGCTACAATCTCGTCGTTCGGAATACCTACGTTGTAGATTGTCGCGTTCATTTGCACCGGCGTTTCCTCGTTGTATACGGTATACAGCTCGTTCACCGTTGATTGAGAGTCGAAGTTGCTTGCGCTTTCTTCGTCTTCCTCTTCTCGTCCGTTTTGCTCTACCTTGAGTACTTTTGTTTGTTTATTTCGGCATGCTGCTTCGATGTGGCCACGTCTTTTGCAGAAATTACACGTATCATAACGATGTGTGCAATTGCGGGCAAAATGATTTGGTTGTCCGCAACAATAACAATTTGATTGTTCCGCCTGCTGCTGTCCCCTCCATGCTTGCTGTGCTCCGCCTCGATTGCCTCGTCCTTTACCGCGTCCGCGGTACGCGCTTCGGCCTCGTTGAAATTTTGGACGCTGGTACGATAATGCGTGAATTTCTGAATTCGGCGACTGGTTCGTTGATGTTGCATTTTTTTCAGCTGATTCGGCCGCCGTAGCCAGTTTGAAAGCTCGATCGAACGTCAACTTCTCTTCGCGAAATAATATGGCTTTGATTGCGTGATTCCGTAATCCACACACTAGCTGATCACACATTGCTGAACTTAAATCCACGAAACTGCAGTGGGTTGCCATGCTTTTTAATCGCGCGACGAATTCTGAGATTGTTTCTGTTGCAGCTTGTTGGGTTTGATGAAATTTACATCTCTCCATCGCTTCTGACGGTTTAGGGCATAAGTGATCTTTTACTAATTTCACCAATTGATCGAATGTTTTGTCTTTTGGTTTCGTAGGTGCACACAAGTCTTTTATAAGCTTGTAAGTATCAGCGCTTACTTTTGTTAATAACACTGGCACTTGTTTCTCTTCCTCTATATCATTGGCTGTAAAATACAATTCGAGGCGTTCGGTGTACAATTCCCAGTCATCGGTTCCGAGATTAAAATCTAATTTGACTTTGCTCCCTGCCATTTCGTGAATTAACTTCGAGCGACTAATACTGAGAATTTCTTCGTTCGATTTGTTTTTGTTATTGTCTGCGTTGTCCGTGTCGCTTAATTCACGGTCGTTATTGTTGTCGGTCGATTTCTCGTCACTTTCACTATTCTTGTCGCTTCTGTTTCTTGATGTTACAAATTCCGACGCGATTTTGCGTAACTTATCGATATTGTCGTTTTCGTCAAAAACGAATTCCGTATCGATTGTTTGAAATTTGCACAACACTTGGATGAGTTTTATCTTCGACAGTTTATAAATCCAAGATGTGGATTTCCAATCTATGACTTCTTCCTCGACTATTTTATTTTTTTCTTGATTGCCACTCATTTGTCGTAGTATGCTTTGTATTGTATGGATTCACTTAGCATCCTCGTCGCCAGATTGTTATGTCTTTTACTAGTAATGAAGACGCCTTCTTTTATTTTTAATTCCTTTATTAGTGACGCCGTGCGCTTCACACGTGTACATTCGTGTATGTTCGGGAGCGTACTGGCGGCCACGCTGCCGCTACGCTAGCCTCGTGGCTTTGTCGCACGCACTTACACTATGATACATCACAAAAACTTACCTGGACAAGAAGGAACTAGTACGGCACCAATAGATTGCCAAGTTAAATCTTTAGCTTGTTTATTTTTAAACATCCGTGAGCCCTTTGCATATAATACAATATTATTGCGAACAATATTAATAAACTCTTTGGTTCTTTCCAAGGTCCAATATGGTCCATCCATTTTTTTAAAACAAACCGCGATCTATGGAGATGGTCGGACGTATTTGTTTTCACGCTTTGCTAGTTTCTGATTGGTCGACGCAGGTACCGCAAACGCAGAAAGTTAAAATTGAACTAACTCGCCGCGTATCGTCAATTTGCGAATGCGTACCGGAAGAAACGTCACTTGCGTCCGCGTTTGCGAACTGCGTTCTGCGTGTTGCGACTTATGGAGACGGGCCTGATCGTCAATTTGCGAATGCGTACTGAAAGAAACGTCACTTGCGTCCGCGTTTGCGAACTGCGTTCTGCGTGTTGCGACTTATGTAGACGGGCCTTTACGCACATTTGCGATTACGTTACATACAAAATAATAACACTGCAAAGATACAAACCATAATAAACTTCGATGAATAAAAATGTCGAAAGAGAGAAGACGATGAAATCTACGGAAAATCTAATAAATTTCTATCGTAATCTGTCGCTTCTCTAAATCTGGAAAGGAAAATGTTTAAGAAAAGGCTCTCTATCCGAAAGAAATAATATAATTCTCCATCATTCTTTGTCGCTTTCTGTTAGGAGAGTATGATTTCATCGGAATACGATAAAATATCAATAAAAACGTAATGTTTCATTGGAAGTTTTGTTGAAATCTCCCTTTTGTATGTATACTTCAAAAATCACTGAAAATCTGTCATAATTAATAGTTTGTTTACGATAGTAGAGATTCTGAGCTCACCACTATCGCATAATATTACCAAAAAACTTCTGTTGTTAACCTTATCAACGATATTAGACATAACATTGTGCTCTCGAGCTATAATTAATTATCGTAGACGGTTCATCGTAATCTATTATAAAATCGGAGAAGAGTACATGTTTTTCTATCGTATTGCAAAAAGCGTAGCATATTATGCATATAATAAGTATTTCATGTATATCGTAATTCTCTAATGAGATACTTATGAAAGGAGACCGTACAAAGAATTAATCGTGAATATTAATTATAACAGATTTTCACGTTACGTGGAAAAGGAGACGATCGATAAGAAACGATAAAAGAATTTGATGTTACAAATACACTACACAAAAAAAAAAACGAAGGATCACTTAGTACATCCTCCAAAAACGAGATTTTTTACAAAGTATCTTTTAAAGCTTGAAGTCTCTACTTTCGAGGCCGTAATTGATATTTCTATCTAATTAATTTTTCACAAAGTTATAGGGATTGTAAATGGATAGCTTTCAAATCTCTAAAAATTTTGTACGTATTTTACAATTTCATATTTTATAATTTTGTAAAAAGTTAATCAGAGAGATCGAAATATTAATTATCTATCTCGAAAGTAGAGACTTTAAACTTTAAAATACTTTTCTAAAAATCTCGTTACCATCATTATACTCTCTTGAATATTATTTATCCTTGGAGGACAGACTAAGCGAGCCTTTAATTTTTTTTGCGTAGCGTGTTATAATAAAAGTATATTTACTTTCAGAGGCAAACAATGGAGGATCAATCGCGAATTTGTAGTACGGCAAAGTACGATACGATAAGAAAAATAGTGCATTGTGTAACAGTGGGGGATAGTTGTTTATAGCGAGGGATGGGCGCGAGCGCACGAGCTATAAACAAATATGCCCTCACTCGCTACACATCAGGAGACGCGGTAGCGTCTCTGGCCATGTTCAAAAACAGCGAGACGCTACAAGTCTGTTATCCCGAGCCATCTAAGTCCATTTTTGGGAGGTGCATAATTACTAAAATATAAAAAATTTTGAATCGAACGTTATATGTCTTGAAAGGCGGCATCGCCACGAGTAATTTGAGCCAAAAAAATTTTAAATCGGTCAAGCCGTTATGGAGATATAAGCGGTCGAAAAGTGGTGATTTTAATGAAAAATTAAGAAACGTCTCCTTCTCCTTCTCCTTCTTCTTCTCTGTCCGCATTTTTAAACTTTTCAACATCCTCTCTCACATTTCACTCGCACCTCCACCATTTTTGGTCCAACGAACCTTTTCCACTCGCCCCTCCCCCTCCCTCCACCACTGACTCCCGCCACCCATCTCTTTCGCTGTATTTCACATTCTTTCGTTATTACAACATTTTAACATCCTCTCTTACCTTCCACTCACACCTCTAACATCTTCGACCCACCGGA